TATCGGTTCGGGTCTGTATCGGTTCGGGTTTGTATCGGTTTGGGTTTGTATCGGTTCGGGTTTGTATCGGTTCGGGTTTGTATCGGTTCGGGTTTGTATCGGAGTACAAAATAAAAGATTTGTACATGAAAGTAGTTACATGGTTTGCACTCATAATTTAAATATGTTTTTTAGAAACATATCAACATACGTAAAAATATATAGGTAATTCTTTTTTCCAAATTCATTTGATAAATGAAATATTAATGAATTTGATCAATTTCGGGTCTAATTGGTTTCGGGTCTAATCGGTTCCGGGTTTAACCGGGTTCGGGTTTAATCGGTTCGGGTTTAATCGGATTCGGGTCTGAATCAGGTCTGAATACATTCGGTTCGGGTTCGGTTCGGTTCGGATCATTTCGGGTGTTCGGTTCTATTTCGGTTCTTCAGTTTTCAGGTCAAATCGGGTTCGGTTCCGGGTTATTTGGTTCGGGTTATCAGGTCCGGGTCAGTTTTGCCAGGTCTAGAAGAGTACTCCATGTAATGCTACTACAGTGCGTTACCAAGTATGGAATCTACTGTTTGGCCTCTCTTGCAGTTTAAGCCTCGTTTGGAAGTTCACTTAATTCACGTTTCTTTTTTTTTCTTCCCCATAAACTTGCACTGCTTTCTCTCTCGAAGTTCAACAGATAGGTGAGTTTTTGTTTTTCCCTTTTTTTTTTTAAAAAAAAATAAATTTCTGTGCAGCTCATTATTAGAAGAGCATGCATTTTTTGTAAAAAAATGTTAATTTGTTTTCATTCAAGCACCATTTTTGAGCTTTCCAGAAAATTTCTCAAAATTTCTTCCAGAAAGTATAACTGGATTCTCTGCAAATATATGCATAGATGTTCTGTTTCATTTTTTTTTCCAGGAAATTCTTATATGGATTAAGAAACATGAATTTTTTGATATGTATAAGTAATGAATTCTTTGAAGAACATGTATTTATTTTTAAATTTTATTGAACTTTCCATGAAAATTTCTCAAATTTTCTTCTCAGTCATGTGGACTGTATATCGTGTTTGCTTGTGCAGCGTTTGGCAATGGCGAAAGGTTTCAAGTTGACGGAATTCATAGTCTTGCTTGTCCTGTCGTCGTCTTCCTCGTTGGGGCTTTCGGAAGAAGAAGAAAAGGAAAAAGGAATTTCATATTTGGAAGTCCAAACACTCCTTAGGGTACGGAGCCTGCTGAATTCTCCGCCTCCATTGAGCAATTGGAACAACCGGACGGATTTCTGCAACGTCGAGCCGACGCCGTCGCTGACGCTCGTCTGCTACGGCGGAGCCATTACTCAATTGCATATTATCAACTCCGGTGGAAGTCTCCGGTTGCCGGAGAATTTCTCCGTCGACTCGCTCGTCGCTTCCCTCGTCCGGCTCTCCGGTCTGAAGGTCCTGAAATTGGTTTCCCTCGGCTTATTCGGCCCGCTCCCCGGGAAAATCGCGAGATTATCTTCGCGTACTCGCTCTCTCCGGGAACAATTTCACCGGAAACCTGCCGGATTTCACCGGCCTGGAAAACCTTCAAGTTCTAGATCTGGAAGGCAACTCGTTCGGACCTGAGTTCCCCCAACTTGGAACCAAAATCGTCACCTTAGTCCTTCGGAGGAACAACTTCTCCTCCAGCATACCGGAGAAGGTTGGTTCGTTTCCCCAGCTCCTACACCTCGACGTCTCGTCCAACCACCTCGTGGGCCCCTTTCCGCCATCGTTGCTTTCCCTTCCGCTGATCAATTATCTCAGCGTTGCAGAAAACAGACTGAAGGGAATGCTCTTTGAGAATCTCACTTGCAGTTCTGAATTACACTTCGTGGATCTCTCCACTAACCTCTTGACCGGAAGATTGCCCGGTTGCCTCCTGAACAGTTCAAAGACCGCTGTGGTGGACGGAAACTGCTTGGAAGACGGAGATGGAAATCAGCACCCTGTTTCCTTCTGCAGGAATGAGGCGTTGGCGGTTGGTTTTTTACCCCCTTCGCATCATCGAAGCAGCAGGAAAATAGGGTCGGGAGTGATTCTTGCATCGATCGTATTTGGGAGTGTTATAGGAGGAGGCAGTGTGGTTCTTGCTATGGGGTTTTTTGTTGCCAGAAGATTTCTTGCAATGAAGAGAACCCCCTCAACGTTGATGCTGGATAATCCTTCATCTGTATACACATCAAAGCTGTTCTCAGATGCAAGTAAGCTTCTTCTCGCCCTTTAAAATAAGGGGTCATGGGCTCGTTCTGATTTGAATTTACTAAGGTCTGATTTGAATCTTTCTAGTCTGATCGAATCCGATTTTAGAGCTAGAGTTGTACTATACAGTAAAAAAAACTTTTTTTATATGATCTAAATTTTTTCCGATCCGATCTGATTTCAAACAAAATTAGTAATAAGAATAAGTTGAAGAGAAGAGACATAAGCATATATCATCACCAAAGCCTTACAAAAGTGTTTGGTATTGAGAAAATATAAGAGTTCATATTTCTTGCACTCACCAGTCGTGCCCTAAAAGATTGAATCCAATCTATTAGCGAGTTGAACTCAAGATTTAATTAACCCATCACAATCACAATAACTTCATATTTTTCGTTACCATTCAGTAGCATTTTCCGTGATCCAAACATGCCCTTTAAGAATGTGTGTAATTGAAAAGAAGGGAAAACATGATTGAATTCAATGTCTTGCATACAGCTTCTTCTATGCTACTATTAAGTTATAGTTTGGCCTTTCTTTCTAGGGTATATGACCCAAGCCATGAAGATAGGGTCAGTCAGTGTTCCCTCATATCGAACCTTTTCATTGGAAGAGCTTGAAACTGCAACAAACCATTTCGACACGTCGACTTTAATGGGGGAATGTTCCAACGTTCAGGTACTGAATCTTGCAAACTTTATGGGTAAGATATTGATAACTTTCCCTTTGGGCAGAAGTCTCCCCTCTGTTTTGGAACAATAGCTGAAAATTTATGATTATTATGCATTCAGATATACAGAGGGCGACTGAGAGATGGCTCATTTGTTGCTATTAGATGCCTAACCCTGAGAAGAAGCGATAGCATTCAAAATTTCATGCAACGCATTGAGTTAATATCCAAACTCAGACATCAGCACCTGGTCAGTGCTCTCGGGCACTGCTTCGAGTGTTACTCGGATGATTCAAGTGTCAGCAGAATATTTCTCGTCTTCGAATATGTGCCAAACGGGACCCTGAGGAGTTGGATATCCGGTAATTCAAAAATCATACTATAATATAAAGTCATATTACATCGAATCATTTATCAAATGTATAGAAACAAATGCGAACTATCTTGATAGAATTAAGAGTTGGGTATGGGTCACTCAACCAAGTCATAAGACACTTGAGCCAAATCACACTAAAGTAAATGATTGAATCGAATAGTTATCTAGTTCATATCATGTATGATATGAATTGCAGGGAAGCATGGAAGGCGGATATTGAATTGGGGACAACGTGTTTCAGCTGCAATAGGAGTAGCTAAGGGTATCCAGTTCTTGCATACTGGAGTCGTTCCCGGTGTCTTTCCAAATAAGTTGAAAATAACTGATATTTTGTTGGACCAGGAGCTCGTTGCAAAAATAAGTACCTTTAACCTCCCCATTTTCGCCGATGACGTTGCACAGGTTTGGATTAAAATAACTTGGGAAAAACAATTTTTATGCTTTTGTGAAAACCCCAACTCAATGCTCTCACATTTTTGTTCTTTTAACCAATATGTGCAATATGTATATTCAAATAATTTTTTTTAACACCTTAAATTGAAAGTGTTCCATCTAAAAGCTATACAAACACTAAATCAAAAGACTATCTTTGAATGACATCATTTTTAAAATTTGCAAACATGATGGTTTCAAATCCAAAAAACAAGTTTTCAAATTGTGTTGCCACACAACCACTTACTCTTTGTTCTATGGCATTCTGCAGGCCAGCCGTCCAAATTCCCCTGGTGGTTCCAATCAACTAAATGGTGCAAGGTTTGTGAACACAAACTACAAATCCTTTTAATATAAGGGTCATGTTAGGAATCCACCACAGTTGTCCCTATGGATGAAAATCATAGGTGATTTTATATTTACACAGGCGATAATATCCGTGGGGGCACTCGTTATGGGTTTGTAGCATTTTTGTTAATATAAATAGCAACACATCCTTCTATGGCTATGTATAGCTTATTAAAGTTTTGGGTAATTGAAGACTTCATTGTTTCTAGAGTAATTTACCTTAATAAGACTAAAACATAATGACTTTCTCAAAATAGGACCATATGTTTTTATTTTCCAGTATAGGACCATTGGTCATTATCTTTAGTCATTATTCAACTAAATGTCCAGTATCACTTGGACATTATTCTTCTCACTAGTCATTATTAAGTCCTATTTATGGAATAAAAAAGTTTAAGTCCTATATTAGAAAATTACTTTTGTTTTAGTCCTATTCCGTGCAAATTTCACTTGTTTCTACGTATGCTATAGCTTTTAATCTCATGAATCTATTTGCAGGGAAAGAAACAACGGAAAGCTGGACGTATATGACTTTGGTGTAATATTGCTAGAACTCATTACAGGGAGGAAGACAAATACCAAAAAGGAGGTGAAGATCATTAAAGATCAGGTATACTTCATTTGGTAAAAGCTCAAAATGGCTGTACTTGTTGCCAAAATGACTAAGAACTTGTTCTCTTCAACTTATTCTTTTTACTTATTATATATTCTTATTGGATTCATATCAGACCAGAAACAACTTTAGATATAATAACTACTATCATATCAGAACTAAATTGAATCAGATCAGCCAGATAAGTTCAAGAGAGAACAAGCCCTAAATCTGTAAAGTTTTCATCTAAAAATAATAATTTAAATTATGTTAGTCAAATATACTTTAAAAAAACAGCATACAAACAATGAAGGTAGAAATATAATTTCCAAAAGGGCTATAAGTGCCTATTCATGGTCCATCGTGTTGGGTTCTTCTAGCTTAGCTTCTTCCTGCGTTATATGCAGTTGCAGGCGAGCCCAACGGCTGATGATGCATGGAGAACGAATGTGGTTGACCCAAGGGTCAAGAATTCAAGTTCAAATGAATCGGTTAGGACGATGGTGGAGATTTGCTACAGATGTTTGGTTGAGGATCATGAAGACATGCCTTCCTTTGAGGACATTTTGTGGAATTTGCAATTTGCTGCTCAGGTCCAGGACGCGTGTAGGGCAGATGGTTCTCCAAGCAGCAGTGATGCCTCCCAGTCTCCCCCTTTCGCCACCCTTCACTCCGCCAGATTTCTCTTCGGTAGCAACAAAGACACCTGTGTGGGGGATCACTGTGTTGTTTCTACTCATGCCTCATGGAGATGATGTCCTATGTGATACCGTTACATATGCCAGATAAGATGTCCTCTCCATGAACGCTTCGTTGTGCACAAAAAAATGTATGCCAGATAAGATGTCCTCTCTATGAACACTCCGTTGCGCACAAAAAATGTATGCCAGATAAGATGTCCTCTCCATGAACGCTTCGTTGCGCACAAAAAGTGGCCCCTTACTGAAAACTACGTGTACAAATTCATTAATTGTCACCAAAATTTTATACATTTGAGCCAGTGGCCCTCTCCTCATCACTTGCCCACATATTCTAAGCATAGTGAATTCATATTGGAGGGTCTTTGTCTCTTGGTGGTAACATTATCATAAATTAGATTTAGGTTGCATGATCTGATCCTATTTTTTGTTTTGAAGATATGCTCTTATGTAAGTGTAGTTATATTTAAAGTTGTTACTGATCTTGTCTGGTTTTATTTTAATTAAAATAAGTTATACGTTGATTGAAACGGATTTTAAGGGCTCATTTGTTTCTGATTCTTAAAAACAGTCAATTCTGATCATCAACAAAATGTTGCATTTGTTTTAGATACTCTGTACTCCCTCCGTCCCAAATTATAATGCCTGTTTACTATTCACAGGGTCAAACTTCATTCACTTTCTTTCTCTATTTTCGTTAGCAATTTGATAAAATAAAATATTATTGTCACTACTAGTTTTGTAGATCTTTTGATGTAGTTTTTTAATATGTAATTTTTATTTTTTAATTCTATACCATTTGTCATATAAAATGATTTGAAAATAATTTTAGTCAAACATCGTAAACCAAAACAGGCGTTATAAATTGGGACGGAAGTAGTATTTCTTTAAAAAAAAAATTAAACCTGTTTCAAAATCTGATTCTGCATTGCATACTTCTAGTTCTAAAAAGAATCAACAGATTCAATTCAATAGGTCTAACTGAATCTAACTTTTAAATCACTAACCAAATACACAATCAATCTCAGTTTACATTCTGGACACCAGAACCAGCTCATTCAAAAACACTTTCACTCCAAAATCCAAAATCAACTTTACCATATGAATCCAGGCCAAATGCACCATCAAATAGATCAGCAATTCTTGTTCACATAGTACACCAAGGTGATCTATGTGGAGGGTATAGCTATACGGAGTATATTCTCATGTATGCTCTGAAGGGAGGACCCCTAAACATGAAGGGCTGCCACAAAAGCACGGGGAGCCCTTCGGAGGAGGAGGATCAAGCGTGACATCCCCATAGCTGAAACTGAGCTCTTCATCTTCTCGTATGTCCATGGAAGCAAAAAAGCAAACACGGGGAAGCAGAGCTCCAGAGCTTCGCACTATAGCAGCGCAGAGGTTCCCTCCGTCACACGAATGGTTGATGAAACGGGCAATGTTTCCCGTTTTGGTGGCATCAATGTTCATCCTCATGCACACGTTCCCGCATGGAAGATGCTCCTTCACAACCAGAAGGGCAGAACAAAAATGTCGGCTTGTTCTGGATGGATTGTCATCGCACTGTCTGAACCGGGCTCTTGCTTCTTCAGTTGTCACAAGTTCCCCTTCCATTCAAGAGATTACCCACAACCAGAATCAGCCCATTATGCAATATGTGTTCTTCCACAAGAACCAAAATCATGAAATGCACTACATATTTCCGAAAGTACGAAGGCTTCGTACGAAATTAACTCTCAAGTTTTGAATCAAAATCTCATCGAAACTGGTGGCATTCCACACATTTACAAGAGTTTATCTGTTTTTTTCAGTATTTCAATTCTCACCATCAAATCGAAATCCATTGAGATAAATCCTAACACTATGTTTGGCTCAATGAATTTGAAAGGGAAAGTAGGGTCCTAGGAGTATGCAGAGGTAATGAGGAGACAAAATGTACTAAGGGGCTGTTTGTTTCAGCCTCTTAATGGTTCAGATGTCTGAATGGTTCAACACTTAATGATTTAGACTGTTTGTTTCAGCCTCTTAATGGTTCAGATGTCTGAATGGTTAAGAGATTTGCCTCTGAATGGTTAAGTAGTATACAGAGTCTGAATGGTTAAGACCTCTTATCTGAATTGATCAGACATTTGCCTCTGAATAGTTAAGCAATATACTAGCTCTTAATGGTTCAGACCTCTTACTGGTTCAGCACTTAATGGTTCAGACCTCTTACTGGTTCAGCACTTACCCATTCAGAAGTTGCCAAACAGCCCCTAAGATGATGACCCGTTTGGCATCCGCGTTTTGAAAAAACTATCCGACGGTAGCCTTTAGCGCTAACGTTTTTAGAATTAATATACATCATTAAAATTTTATTCCAACCGCTAACACTAATTGAAAATGCTGTTCCCAAACGAGGCCGATGAAAAACAGAATTCCTCTCATGAAAATGAATTTGGTGAGGGATTTGAGTGAAAACTATTTTCTTTTCTTTTTTCTTCCCAAATTCCCCTAACCAAACATCATGTAGTGTAAGAAAAATCGAAAGGAAAAAGAAAATATTACCAGCATACTCGCAGATGAACTTGCCTTTAGGAATCATCTCCCCAGCCCGCAAGCTCCATCCTTTCCTCTTATCCTTAACGATTTTCAGCCTCACAGAAACGCCATTTTGAGTCAACCGATTCCCGCAATCCGAGAAGCAGCCACAGCTGGGACCACACTCCCGACTCGGAAACTCGGAGGCCGAGTCCCAACACGGGCATCCCGAACCGCCGCCGCATCCCCGGCGGCAGTCGCACCCGCGGGCGCCATCGACTCTGAACAGGAACGGATCCGGAGGCGCCCGACCCGGCCCATCGGCCGGACCTCCCCAGGACTGAGCTACGCCGGCGGATGGCAGAGACTGAACCGGGGTGTACAGGAAGTGTGCGTAGTGCTGCGAGTCGACGGCGTTGATGAAAGGGATGGCGGAATTCTCGAAGGTTCTAGACGCATCGGAGATTCTAGTGGAAGTAACGGCGCCGGAGATTCGACGGGAGGATCTGCAGGTGGATGAGACGGCGGCGAGATCGGAGGGTTGTAAGTAGGGGAAGATGAGAGGCGCACAGTGGAAGAAGGACACCTCCTGGGCTTCGGAGTTGTCTTCTTCTTCTTCCTCCTCTACGGATCGGCCCCTTCTGCATCGTTTCTCCATATACTTTGGTCTTGCAAATTTACCGGTGACATGTTCTAGTTTCTTGGTTCAAAATTAACAAATTTGGACCACAAATTAAATAAAAATGATAATATATTTTGATCAAAAAAATATTTTTATTAAATTTAATTTATAGAATATTTTCAAAATACTATTTTATCAAATTTATATATTATATATGTGAATAATATTTTCTTTAACTATAGATCAAATATTGAAAATAATTAATTGTAAGAAGTCAAAATGGGATAATTTCTCAGAGACGAAGGAAGTATTAAAGGAAATGCCTATCCCAGGTCTCCTCAGAACTGACATTCGCAAGTCGCAAAGGATTAAACCTGCACCTAATATTTGTAGAGTCACTGTAACACTCCAACCCGCATAATCCGAATAAATAGGTTAGCGAACTGGGTTGCTACTAGATTGGTATCAACATAAAATATTATTCAGTAAATTAAAACATTTAACTTAGAACTCAAACAACTTAAATTAATTTAAATACATATTGGAGTTTATACAAACAGTGCGAAAGCCTTATAATTTAATTAAACATCAACTTTGTTAAAACCCTGCATCCGTACATCTCCTCCGTCATGCTGCTCTCCGGGATAGATTCCAGAATCAATATACCACAATCACCTACGTGTAGCAAATAGGAAAAAGGGGCTACACGTAGCTAAGTGAGAAATATCTAACAGTTCGAACATTGGGTGTTGACACCCATGTTTACCGTCATGCAACACACAAGGTCTCGGAATCAATCCTCGACGCAAACAACAAAACGCAGACCGGTTCAGGTACCTCACGGTACCCCTTGGCGGTAGGGGTTACTGACCCACGACACCAGGGTACCTGTAACACCCTAATCCGTCCAGGTCTGCAGCCCCTTTCGGACTAAAGTATTTAACTTGAAAATCGTAAAATTTAAAACTTTTCAAACACACTTTATTAATCTCAATAATATTTTTCATAACATATACAGTACGGAGTATTTAACAATATTGCGGAAACGAATTTAATATTGACATATCATAAATCATTTCAAAACTTGTCACATCCATCCCGACAATCTCGCCCCATCTGCCGCCAGGATCACATTAATCTTTCTACCTGCGTGTAGTAAATAAAACATACTACACGCTCAGCGGTGAAGCTGAGTAAGCATATCTAAAACGTCGAACATCCAAATAAATTGAATCTCAATTCATAATCAACCATTTGATATCATGCACACAATATATGATTCAAACATTCATGATATTCTCAATATTTTATTCCAAGTCATTTGATATTCAATATCTCAACCATGCTCTTAAATTATTCTTAATCTAAGGCCA